AAGTTGGATCCATTTGATCCAATTTAAGACCTGTGTGAGTGGGTCATGAGTTTACCCCTTTACTCCAACACCTAAAATGACCCAATTCAAAAAACTTTGAAAGTTAAAATGACCCAATCAGAACTAATCTAATCTGACCTATTTGCCGGATCTAGTGTTTTATAATTTAATATAATGTAAATCATAAAATAAAAAGCTCACCTAAAAATTATAACAACTAATCAGAGCCAAAGCCAATGAAGTGCTAAAAACAATCTGTTTTCACATTTACTTATAAAAATTTATTAGCATAAAGTTCAATATTCCTTTCAACCTATGCACACACAAGTTAAAAAAATTCTTGTATATAATATCGATGATAAGTTAATAACATTAAGTACGAATACAATGTCAACTAGTACGTAAGTCCTCCACCACAGGTTGTTTGATCGATAACAAAAGCCTAAAAAGAATTTAATGTGTGTGGGAATAAAACTCACAACCTTAAAAGTTGAGGTTGTGTAATCAAACCTGTTAGTGTTCCACCACTTAAACTTAGGCCTTATTGGCAATGAGATAGGGAATTTAATCCTGTTTTGATTACAAAACACCATTTTTGTTTAGTTAGCAACAAAATCGATTTGGTTTGATTTTTTTACCAAAATGATGCTGTTTTTCTTATTTCTTGCCTTTTAGAAGTTTTTTTTTTTTTTTACTAAACTTCTTGGTACTTAGAAGTCAAATTACACCCCAATTAATAGAGAATTAAGTTATATTAGATCTCATAAGAAGAAATCTCTCTCAATATTTATTTCTTTATTCATAAAATTTAAAATAAAAAATTTGTTTAAAAAAATCAAGCTTCTTCTATCCATACTGATAGGTACTTGGGCCGGAAGACTTGTTTTTACTATCTGCTTTAATTGGGGGCCTAATTTACAAAATTTTCCTGAATTTTCCATATATTCAATTACTCACCCTGGCCCATAAGCCCAAAGGTTGGACTTGGACTAATAATTTTGTCTAAACATGTAACCCCTTTACATTTGATGATGCTGACCAATGCAACATACGAAATAGTTCTTTCTTTTTTTTTTTTTAATTTTTTCCCTAATACTTGAATTCAAGACTAAAGCACGCATGGGAATTCTTTTCCTTTTTTTTTCTTTTTTCTTTTTTCTTTTTGTAATTAGCAGGTGTGAGTTGAAATCACACAAATAATTAATTAATGACTTAATGTCACTAAAAGCCTCTTAACTTTTAAAGATGCCATTATTATCTCTCTACTTTAAAAAACTCATAATAATTTTTAGAAAAAAAGGCCAACAATCATCCTTCTGTTGATTAACGTCATAATGTCATCCACATCCGTCTGTTAAATGTTCTGAAAAAGATAGGGATAATTTAGTGATTTCAAATTTAATTTTGAGGGGAACTATGTCTTTTGGATGATTTAATAGCTAAATTAAATAATTGAAAGTTAGATTTGTGTGTATGAACTAAAGAAAGGAAAAAGCAGGAAGGTCACGTTTGTAATTTTACCTTTTTTCCAAGAAGATAAGGTGGTTGAACTGAATTTCATTGGGTCCCATCATCCACATTGGACCAAAAAAATCTGAGACAACATAGCATTTAACGTATGAATGGACCATGGATGTACCCAAAAAAATAAATAAATAAATGTGAATGGACCATGGATGTACCAAAAAAAATAAATATGAATGGACCATAAGGATGATGGATGGTATTTTCTTCAAAGTTGAGAAATTATTATGAATTTATTTTAGAAGATTGATGACAATGACTTTTTTTACTAAGTTTGAGGATTTTTGGTGATATTAAACCTTAATAAATATTACCTTTAACCTTATTTTTTAAAAGTATGGCACTGGTTTAGTATAGTCAAATATAGGATATATATATATATATGCCAGTTTAGAGAATTTTTGAGAAGTTAAATTATTTTTTATAATCTCTTTTTTTTTTTTTGAATAAATACAAATTTCAGGAAATAGAAGAATTAAGCTAGTATCATACCAGTAAATGTACTGAATTCAAAACAAACTATTACTTAATCGGCACGCAAGACTAGGTGCATCTTTCATAATCTTTAAAAAAAAAAAAAAATCTTAATCAACAAGAAAAAGAATAAGTTTCCTTACTAATCCAACTACATCTCCTTGGTAAATACTTTCAGCTAGGCTCAATCATAATTATGAAATAGAGTACTTATGAAAGACACAAAAAAAAAAAAAAGAAACCAACAATTAATTAAAGTATAAACAAAAAAAAGAAAAAAGAGCAACAGATATTAGTAAATGCTTCCATTTCATAGCATTTGTTATTTTTCTTTATGAACATTTCTTTGCAATATGAATTTTGATGCTACGAGATTATATGTATGTATATCTATTAGTACTGCATGCTATGATCCTTCCTTTATAAGCTCATATAATGCCCACAAAAGAATGCCAATCACGGTGTCTCTAACCAAGCTCTTAAGAATACCTTCAACCAAACCATTAGACCCAACTTCAGATGGTCTCTTCCCTGCAAGGTCTCTGAACCGCAAGTTTCCTTGGTCAGATATCAGTGCGTATACTACGCCATTCATGTGTCCCTTTCCAATTACCCCTACCACCTTCTTGCAGTTATTGACAGCTTTGCTCCGCTTTAAAGACCAGGCAAGATACTGAAAACACAGAGGCATATGTTCGTTCGTAAGAGAACAAAGGAAAACACTTTCCTTTCTAAAAGGGCAAATTATGGCCTCCTAGAAATTGACATAACCAGCATGATATCTCTTTTTTGGTTTTTTGTCAGCATAACAGGCATGATATAATGTGATCATGTTCGGCATCAGTGAAAAATTAATAAACAGAATTCACATAAAGCAAATGTAAGTTGAGTGATCCAGATGAAAGGAATGAAATTAGGATTTTGAGGAGACTATAATTAAACTTATAATGCATGACAAGCTATCAACATAGAATTTCAAACTGCAGTTTTCCATGGATAGCTACCCTCTATCTATTTTCGTTTCTCATTTTGGAGTGTGCCTGACTAATTTACAAGAAAGGGTTCCAATGATCTTTACGGTTCAAGTATACATGTACTCACTGTGTCTCGCTCGTGTATAAGGGGTTGCAGAAGTGATGGATATAAGAAACTTAGCCTCTCATAAAGCTGAAAGGTGCTGTCATCTGTATTCTGTTCCTGCAATTCAATATAGATTTTTCTTGGTTGGAAGTTGCAGGAAATAAGGAGAATTTCTCAAAGCATGGATCTTTCTTCGTCATTATCCATTTTCCATAACAGCTAAAAACCCAGGCTTTATGAAAATGAAGAACAATATTTGGCAATAAACAATGGCAAGAGAAAACCTCTAGATCATTCCTGGATATATCAGATGATGATGTTATCCCACGAATAACAGAGCGCACTAAACTAACTTTCTCAGCCCACTTCAGAGAATTCCAAGCCCTTTCAAGCTGCAAGGGCATATTTAAAAGAAGAAATGAAAAACTAAACTTAAAAAGGAGAAGGAGCTAGTATGGGGGATGTTATCAAAATCTACCCACAGTTATTTCAATGGGCCGATCCCCCAAAACTATTTGAGCACCAACTTCTTCAGAAGCTTTTCGAGCAGCACGAAACTGCAAATTTTGCAAAGATTCATAAACTAAGGTAGAAATTTCATAAATTTTGTAGACACTACATGTATTATGACTCTTTAATATGTTTGAATAAACAACCTCATCGCCGAAGGGTCGGTTGACATCAGAGGAGATTTTCGATGAGAAAACTGCCAGAAGTAATCGTAATGCTAGAGCAGATTGACCCCCTGCCATTTATGTTAATTAACATTAGATAAACTCAAGTTCATAGAAATAGTAACCAAGGAGACAAACAATAAAATGCTCATCATTACCCAAGTTTATGCTACGCCCCACAGCACCAAAAAAACCAGTCCCACTCAAGGAGAACATATTTGACCTTAGTTGTGGTCCATCTTCACTTTCATTGGTTGTGTACATAATCCCAGCTCTGAAAATGAACTCTGCAATAAGTAAAGTTAATATGTGGAATGATTTTACACTCCCTTAAATCATATAGCATAATGAAACCAAAATCCAATAGTAATCATCATGTATTTGCTTCCCTTTGGGGAAAAGTTCTTCCATCAGCGCAAAATTAATAAACCTTCAATTACAGAGGTGAACTTTGCAAAGATTAAAGTCATGTTGTAAAATGATTCTATCTATCTTTCCCCTTTTCCATTCAGCATAAAGGAAACCTAAACCCGGCCAATAAACTATTATATCATGTATTCACTTCCCTTTAAGGAAAAGATCTTCCATCAATAGGATATTGATAAACCTCCTAATGCAAAAAATGAACTTGGTAAAGATTATATTTATGTTGCGGAATTATACTGTCCCCTAATTCATTCAATACATTGACTCATCTCTGAAATCCAATGAAATTTCAGATCAAGTTTTTACTTTCAATTTGGGAATACCCCTTCCACCAAGTTTGAGGAGTGACTCAACACTGTTTTCCTCAAATAGAGGAGGATAGATGTTATGCAGCAGATAAATTTAATCCCAATTAGCTAAACTAAAAATACCGAATTTCATAGAAAATTCAGTCAAAGAGTTAGCTAAAGAAGAAGAAGAAGAAGTATTTTTTACATCCATTGTATTATTTTCACAAACAGTACACTGACTATTTGGAAATGCTAATCCAGATTCCCTTGAAACCGAGCAATACTTGCCTGCTTCTGCAGAGCTCGACCACCACATTATCAGGCATCACAGCTCTCACTACACGATCTACGTCTGCAGCTGATTCCGACGAAATATGATTAGTACCCACCAACCAAATCCCCTCTGGTTCCACAAATTCCGTCCTCCAGACGGGAACCGGACCGAATTGTGGCTTCTCAATCAAAACTAGAGTCCCATTATCCGCCAAGTCCAGTAAATGAGGGTGAGTCTTTGCAATGGTGGCTGTTGAGTGTGCTAAAATCTCAGCTCTGAAATCGAAGTCCTGTGGCGGAGGTTTGATTGAAACCTTCAATGGTTTGAGAGGTTTTGTTCGGAGAAGTTTTGGTTTTGTGGAGAAGATTGGAAAGACGGATTTTAGAAGAGTATCCATGGATGAGAACAGAAGAAATCTGGGTCTGGAGTTATGAAATTGGGGGAGAAAGAATGGATGGTTAGTTCCAATGCTGAGTTTGGATAAGATAACAAACTTTAACGGTCACTGTTTTCTCTAGACCAAAAAAAAATTAATATTTATGACATCATATAAAATTATAAAAGATATTACAATTATAACATTGCTAAAATAATCTAT